GACCTCGTGATCCGCCCGTCTCGGCCTCCCAATGTGCTGGGATTACAGGCTTGAGCCACCGCGCCCAGCCTGTTTTTGTTTTTGAGAAGGAGTCTCACTCTGTCTCCCAGGCTGGAGTGCAGTGGTGTGATCTCGGCTGTCTGCAACCTCTGCCTCCCAGGTTCAAGCACTTCTCCTGCCCCAGCCTCCTGAGTAGTTGGGATTACAGGCACATGCCACCACACTGAGCTAATTTTTATATTTTTATATATTTTATTAAAATATAAAATTATTTTTTAATATTTTTTATATATGGAGTTTCACTATGTTAGCCAGGCTGGTCTCGAACTCCTGACCTCAAGTGATCCACTCGCCTCAGCCTCCCAAAGTGCTGGGATTACAGGCATGAGCCACCACGCCCAGCCAACCATATGATTTTTAAGGCCCCTTGCTGGAGGATCTGCCTTTGAGCTTTGGCAGGTTTCTCCCCATCTTTTCCTACTGTCCCTGCTTGGATGGCCTCTTGAGAAAGTCAGGAGGGTTTTTTGAGTTGCTTAGGGCCCTAAAAGAAGAGTGCGAGGGCTGAGGAATCACAGATTAATAGCATTCTTGAGCTGGAAAGACCACAGGAGCTGGCCAGCCCTGAATCCTTCATGTACAGATGAGGTAACTGAGGCCTGTGAGAAGCAGGACCCCACCCCTGCCATCCATGGTCACCCAGCAAGTCAATGGTGAGGCCAGGCCTAGAACTTCTCAAGACTTTTCCTTTCTTTCTGTGTGCTCTTTTGTCAGAGTAAAACTCTGGGTCCTCTCATGTGCTGCTGGGGAGCTATAAATTGGCATAGTCATTTAGGAGGGCAATTTTGCAATGTCTATTAAACATTCAAAATGTGTCAAACATCTGTCACTCCACAATTTCCATTCTGTGAATTCACTGTATAAAAATATTTTTATAAGTTTTTTTAAGACAAGTTCAAATATGTTTGCTATAACATTGTGATAGTGGTGAAAAATTAGAAGCATCCTCAATGACCTTTAACATGGATTAATTAAGTGGATGTGTGGTACGTTCACACTATGGAAGATTGTAGCTTTTAAAAAAAGAATACGGCCAGGCACTGTGGCTCACGCCTATAATCCTAACACTTTGGGAGACTGAGGCAGGTGGATCACCTGAGGTCAGGAATTCAAGACCAACCTGGCCAACACGG